GTCTCTTCCGTGCTTTGTCAGGGGGTCTTGGGAGGAAAGTGCTTTGTGTCCTGTGCCATGTGACCATCTCACCTATTTTGAACGTAATACAGTAAGAACTGTAAGTGATTCGGGGTTGGTTACAGGGACAGATGACAGAATCAGTTTCTCCCTTTTGAAACCTGTTTCAAAGTCACAGATGAGCGATCTTGCTCTCGCACATTTGATTAATGGCCTCATTAGGGTTGTCTCATTAACCTCATTAAGGTTGTATAAGAATACGAAGCTAGTTATTGTGTTTCTAGTGACGTGTATACAGATCTGCCAGGATCTGCTAGAGCTGCCCAGTCCCCCTGCTGGATGTGCCCCGCCGGGTGGGGCTTCTTGGCAGGTGTCTCCCCCTGAGCATCTGGCATGTCCTTGCCTCATGTGTTGCCTGAAGTCGCTGACGAGCCCCTTTCGCTTCCCGTCGCCAGTGGAGCTGCTGCCGATTGTTCTGAGCTCCAGCTTTTCTCACACCGACTGGGCCTTGGGCTCTGGAATTGGTGTGGGGCTTTAACCCCAGTTCCAGCCCCTCCTAGCGGTGTGATGACACAGTGGCCAACTCTGTGTGCCTCCGAGCAGTGCTGACTCCCGCTGCCACCGGGAACACTTGCAGAGGGGGCGGTAGGACAAAGTTGTTTTCACATAGGTCATGGAATCCCCCCGCCCCCGCTGTAGTTTCTTCATAGTAAATGTCGTCTTTGGCCCGTCAGAACGGATGTCTCAGAGAAGCTCACCTTCATGATTTCATTGAAGGCAGCTGTTCAGATGCCCTTCTGGTTCTGGGCCTGCTGATTTTGGGATGCCTGTGGGCTGCAGGAGGAGGCTGAAATCTGGTTTGGAGCGTAGGAGGGAAACTTGGGCTGGACATAGACACGCAGTTGAAACTGTGCAAGTATATGTGACCTTCAGGAGGGAGTGTAGGCCTGGAAGGACACGGAAGACCCTGGACAGGTTTAGGGGGGGCTGGGACATGTGCCAGAAGAGCAGGAAGGCAGCTGGAAAATAAGGTGCTGAGTGCGAGTGCCAAGCGGCAAGGGCAGAACGGAAGGTAGGGTGGGGTTGGGTGTGGGGGCCGAGGGGCTGGGCTGTGGGGAGTCCTGCAGGCAGTGGGCACAGTGTCAGTGGAGCAGGGAGCAGAGTGGAACAGTGTGGGCCCACAGACCTCTCCAGAAACTCCCCTGTTAGGAGAATAAAGAGCAGGAACTGGAGGCAAAACTTCTATTATTACCAGCCTCACCGCGGCCGTTGTTGCTATGAGGAGAGGCCGTGTTGTTGAAATGCTAGTGGAAGCAGAAATAGGAGAGGCCAGGAAAGACACAGGCTGGGGAGGCATCAGGGCAAGGCCTTCAGTAGGGGGTGAGGGTGGGCTCCCCCCCTGGGAGGAAAGGGATCCTGGGCAGGACAGGGCCAGAGAAGGGAGAGGAGACAGACTCGGTGGCAGAACATTTTCTTCTCACAACTTAGTTTTCTCCTTGATGAAGCTGGGGACACGCCCCCAGAGGCATCTCTTCCCCTCCTTGCACATCCAGCCAACCACCCCAGGGAACCGGAGCCCAGCACAGCCCGGGCAACCTCAGGGGCCCTTGGCAGAGGGTGCGGCAGCCCAGGGCCAGCTGAGTGGCTCACCAGGGCCCTCCCAGCCTCAGCCCAGGCCCTTGTCTCCCCTGTAGAACCAGCCCTGTCCCCTCTGGTCCATTTTAACTTAATTACACTCAAATCAGTTCCATAGCTTGGGCCTTTTTAGGCATTAGTGACTGGAAGAGTTTTGTTTTATTACTTCACATTTTCCAAACCTACTTTACACAGATGGATCTCGTAATTCTATAAGGCCACAGACAGGAGCGGAGCAGTGCCAGAGGCTGGGCCAGGACTGTCTCACTATAGATACGAGGGCCTCATCTCTTTTGACATCTTGATGAGCCTTTCTGCGCCGAGTTTGGGAGACTTTAAGACCGAGGTGGCTCACACCCAATTCCTTCAGCTCACTGCTGTGAGCCAGCCGTGCCCCGCATGCCACCTCCTTTATTAGGCTCACATCTTTTGTTCTCTGCCTGAATTCCAAGAGTTCATTTCAGCATCCCTGTCTTTTTTTTTTTTTTAAGATTTATTTATGCATACCAGAACTGGGGTACACATCAGAGGTGTGGGAGGGTGAGAGAATTCACCAGAGACAGAGTGGGGAACAGAACAGGCAGATTGACTGAAATACACCGCTGAGGGGAGCAGTGGGCGAGACAGGAGAGGTCTGCCGCGCCATGTGGGTAGCTCCCTGCCCGGGGATTGAACTCATGCTGCAGAGCCTGCAGATAGCTTCACAGTGCTGTGCTTAACCTAACCTCATGCCACCAGGGAGGCCCCTCAACAGCCCTGTTTTCATCAGCAATGAAATGGTGGCTGAGAGAGGCTGACTCCTCTGGGGTCACCAGGAAGTAACCCTGGCAGTTCTGAGCTAGGTCTTTGGCTCTGCGACCTTTATTCCATTTTGTCATGGAGCCTCCAGACACAATGCATTTTGCTCTGTGGAGGTTTTACTCTCCAGTGTACTGTGTCTTCTGCTGCGCAAGGTCACTCAGAGAATTGTCAGGACCTACAAAGTGCCCAATCCGTTTTTCAGTGAGAGTCTTAGAAATGTCCAGAGCAGAGGGGATGAATCTGGCTCCTGTCTGCAAAATGAAGGAGAAATAACAAAATAGACTGTGTTAATAATTCAGGACAAGGAGCAGGTGGTGTGGGGAGAGAATCGGTGTTGCCCTTAGACGGAGCCGGCAGGTGCGACTGGAAAGAGGGGGCCACAGCCCGTATCACATGCTGCTTCTGCGCCGGGGGCTCTGCTTTAACCTCATCTCATCATTATAATGAGCTTCACAGATAATATTTATTAACATGGCCATTTTGGGTGAGAAAACTGGGGTTCCGAGAAGATAAGCATCGTATAGCCGGTGTGCGGGGTTGGTGGGGGGGGGGCTGTGTGTTGCAGCCAGGGTCAGGCCAGGGCTGCTCCCTCAGGATGCCTACCTAAGGCTACACACTGAACGAAGCGGAGTGTGTACAGAAGCATGCATGCGTGCACACACACACACACACACAATTTTTTTGTTGATTAAGAATTCAGGAAAAAAAAAAAAAGAGAGAGCAACTAACAGCCTCAGCTTCTGCACCTCAGTCCTCCTAAGTCAGTTTTAGGAACTGTCTTCTCTACTTCACTGTGATCAGTGCCTCCCAGGACTGGTTTTGGCTTCCAGAGGGTCTTGTCTGCGCGGTGAAACTTCAAGAGGGCAACGAAGTGCACGGCGAGAGATGATTACCAATGTTTCAGGGGCCGGGGCGGGAGGGGCAGATGTTGCTGCAGTAGGTCACTAGGCTTTTGAAAAGAGACTCAAGCGTATGTTTTCAAAACAAGGAGAAGGATGGTGAACAGGCAAATTCTACATCTCAAGAGACTCATGTCTTCTTTTGCAAAGATGCGGAGTCAGTCTTCTTTCCAGGGTGCGGGGTGCTGAGTCCCTTTGCTCCTGATGAAAGCAGGTGGGACAAGCCTGGCTGTGGGGCGTTCCCGATACAAGGGAGACTGGCTAATATCGTTGTCACTGCTATGACTCGGGGTCTAAATTGTTGGGTGTGAGTGACTTGGCATCACAGATGGTTGTGTTTGGTGTGTGAGTTGACCGGGAGGCCATGATGTCTCATGGAAGTGAGTGGCCAGCAAGGGCTCCTGGTGGGTGCCCAAGCGCTCGGGAGTCCAGGTCATTCCTCTTGTAGCCAGAGCCACCCACTGCCCCCATTGGGCTTCTCACAGTGAGCCCCTGTGCGTGGCTCCTAGCTGGGTACTGAGAAGCATCTGAAGGACAGGGCACCTCAGACATAGCTGCTCACAGTGTGGCTCCGGCCATTTCCACTACCCCCCGACTTCCTAGGGCACCCCTTCTGCATCTGTTCCAGCTGGTAGGCAGCTGACTCTCACTAAAGAGCCTGAGAGTTCCAGGTGTGTGGCCATAGTCACTAATTACAGCAAGGCCTGGTAGGAATTAAAAGGAGGTGTGTAGTTTCAGGGTAGAGAACTGCAGACTCCGCCACCTTCCCTCCAGGGGCTCCCCAAGGTGCAGGCTGCGGATGCTGGGGATCTGCGTGATGGGTTTTCCTTGGTCCGTGAGTTTGTTCCTGGCAGCTGCCCCCTCCTCTGGAGGGAAGGAACGAGCCTCACTGCTATAACGTTAATGGTATTAAATTATAATGTTAAGCCCGCTGAAAAAGAGAAGACAAGGCCCCTGGAGAAGATATTAAAGGGCACCTTTCCTTCTGCCCCTTTGGGTTATGCGAGATGGGGGGAGTGTGACTTCAGGATGGACTCCAAGATGACCCCAGAAGTTTCTCTGAAGAAATGGAGGATGCCGTGCAGCCAATGAAATTAAAGATTCTTCAGATTTTAAGTTGGCCTGGGGCCCTGGAGTCCATTATGTTGGCAGGAGGGAGGGGTCCTGCTGATGGACGTTCTGTCTGCTTTTGGGTGATTTGCATTAAGAAGGGACTGGGACTTCTGGGGGCCTCCCCTGGTGGCACAGCGGTTGAGCGCTGGGCTGCGGGGCTGCCTGCAGCCTCTGCTGCGCCAGTTCGTTCCCCGGCCAATGGTGAGGGTCCCACAAAAAAATAAATAAATACAAGAAGGGACTTCTTGTCCCAGGGGAGCTGGCAGAGTGGCAGTGGTGGGGTTAAGAATCTTGGCATGGAAGTCCTGGGAAACGTGGCCAGGGTCATGGAGGAAAGAATCCCACTCCTTACCCTCACCTCTGGGGGTTCCAGGATGCACCTCCACCTACAGCCCCAGCTCTGCTCTCCAGGGACAAGGGAGAGACCCTTGGATTCTCTGCAGAGTCGGGCTTAGCCCTTCCCCACCTCTGTGCCCATGCTCCAGTCAGCTACCCCTGTGTGTTTTGCCTGCTGGCTAGAATCACTGCTGAAGTTGACTCTGTGCTTCCTAGGAGCTAGCCAGCTGTGGGTGGAGTAAGAAGGAGAAACACAGTCTCGCCCCCAACGTTGTCGCCTTTACCAGGAGGTTTAACCAGGTAAGCAGCGCGCCTCGCATGTGCCTGTTGGGAGAGTGATCTGTTGTCCCCTGTCGCTGGAAGTCCCTCCAGGGTTCAGTCCCAGGCACCCCGCCCTCGACCCAAAATCTTCTTTCTGAGCCCCACTTTTCCCTACGCTGGTGCCATCACAGCCCCGTGCACATAGTAGGTGGCACTGGCACATCTCCGCAATTGAGTCACTTCCGTGGCTTCTACTTCAGCTCTAGTCCCAGCACCCCGGGATGCCCTGCGAGCTCCTGCAGGTGGAGCTGGCTCTGTTCCCCTCCGGCCTCATTATCTCCTCCTCCCTCTGTGCTGTGCCTTGTCATCCTGGCCTCCCTCCTTTCTCATGGAGCACCAGAGCTGTCCTCTCAGCTTGGAATGTGTCCTCCCAACTCAGCTCCCAAACAGATCTCAAGCTGAATGTCCCTTCCTTAGGAAGCCCCCAGAGTCCCCAGCCTGTGTAAGGGCTCCCGTCATTGCACCCTGCGCTTCTCCTTGGGGCCTTGGCTCATGTGTCCTCATGTTGTGTAACTCCTTGCGCTCCATCTTCCTCGCCCGCCTGTGGGCCCCTGAGGACAGGAACCACGTCTGTCTGGCTTATCATCATGCCCCCCACCCCATGTCCGGCAGACAGTCGACACTCAGTGACTGCATGTGCAGTGAGCAAATGTCGGGGCTCAGGACATACTTCTTGAACTGAATTGAATTTCTCCGAGTTCCTCACGGCCTGCTCTCTGTAGCTTGTAGTCCCATACAGACTACCACAAACCCGGAGTTTTGCCCCAGGTAGCAAGACCTGCCTCCCTACTTACTGGATGGTGATGTGGACTGGGCCCAGCTGCGGGAGTGGGCTTCTCATTTCTCAGCCAGGCCTGCTAGAACGTGATTCTTGGACAAGGTTGCCTGCAAGTCCACTTTGGATGGACCAGCACCCCCCATGGTGCTGCTCTTGTTTTTCTTCTTGTTTTTCTGGTTTCAAATGAGGTCACTGGCCCAGGGGCTGCACAGTGTGACTTCCTGGATCTCTGGGTGATGGGCCTGGCTTCCCTTCGGCCTTTCTCCAGCTGGGCCTGCCCACCCGGAAATGCCGGGTCCTGTGTGTCAGGCCTGCTCAGCCCTCCTCGGCTTCTGGCCTTGGCTACCACCTCAGAGAGGTCCCCCGCCGCATCTGAAGGGCGAGGCCAGCCTTTTCATTATTGTTGTTTTCGAGATGTAATAGGAGCTAAGAAAGGCCTAGCTGCATCTGCAGTTGGGGCTACATACTTCTTGACTTGAAAAGAGGTTCTGAAGCCTTTTACTTCTTTTTTCTTCCCTTAAAAAAATCTTTCCTTTTCCAACTGATCTTAGTCTTGAAAAACAAAACAAAACAAAAAAAAAAACAAAAAAAAACACAACAAACCAAAACAGATGTGCTCACACTGTCAGGGGATTCAGAGTTTCCTCAGCGAAACTATTGGACTGGGAGCCAGCTCAGTCCCAGCTCTGACCAGGGCTCCCGGGGAGGCCCACGCCTCTGATGTCACCTGCTCTGCAAGGAGGCCGGGCAGCTCGGCAGAGGGATGCAGTCTGTTCTGCGAGGATCGCCTTGTGTCCAGCTTACACCAAGTGGCCGAACTGAGCCAGAGCATGGTTCTGTATCCCCAGCAGGAGGCTCCTAGAAGTGGTCTTCATGTAGGCCTGCAGCCTCTCAGTGAGGCCCCTGGACACAGCCAGGAGGCTCTGATGTGGAGGCTGGCCAGTGGCCAGGCCTGGTCAGCCTCTGGGGCTACTTTCTGTGACAGGAACTGATTGGCATTCCTTCCTAACAGACTTTCAGATGTGAGAACAAGGCTCCTCATCAGACTCCAGATAAGGGCGAGCAGGTCACTTACCTTTCTGAGCCCGTTTCTTTATCTATAAATGAGAAAACAAGAAAACAGTAATACTCACCATGCACAGTTGTTCTGAAGATACGAAATGACACATGCCGAGCACCCAGCACAGTGTTTGGCGTGTGGCAAGCATCCAGACATTTTCGGGGAGAAAAAGGAGAAAATGTGGAGATCAGCAGATCGGAAGAAGCTTGCCATGGATTTGAGGCTCCTTGTGGCCCAGTCAGAACCCCAGGGCCAGCCTCCTGGTCAGGTCCCACTGTGCCTGCTTCTGCCTGGCACCGGGGTCCTTTGGCGCTGTCCAGAGCGGCTGAGGTGAAAAGAGCTCAGCCGTGTTCACTGAGGGCCTGTAAGGGCCAGGCTTGTGTTTCAGCCCCAGGGCTTTCACCAGGGCACAGAAATTGTCAGCCTTTTTGGACCCTGGCTTCTTTTGAGAAGCTGATAATATCGCATATGAACCTGCCCCCAGATAAATGCAGAGGTATATGACTTTGCATTTAATTTTAGTGGACCCACTGCCCCCTGTGTTCCAGAAGTTGGTGCATGGACTCTTTGGAAGGTGGGGGACAGGAGGCAGAGAAGCTGTGGTCGCAGGGAATCAAGCGAACCTTCACCTTAGCCGGTCCATCTTGTGTGTCTTTTAGTGCTTTGGCCCAATACCTTTCAAGTGGTGTTTAAAGATCAAATGTAAGTTAAGGATGTAAAGGGTTTAGCTCAGTGCTTGATCTGTAGTAAACAATGATTGCTTAGAAAAAGTGCAGAGAATGGGCCTCTCCGGTGGCGCAGTGGGTTGAGCGCAGCGCTGTGAAGCTGTCCACAGCCTCTGCAGATTCCCAGCCGGCCAGGGAGATTCCCACATGGCGCGGCAGACCTCTCCTGTCTCGCCCGCTGCTCCCCTCAGCAGTCTATTTCGGTCCTTCTGCCTGTTCTGCTCCCTGCTCTGTCTCTGGTGGTTTCTCTCACCTTCCCGCACCTCTGGCCTCTACCCCAGTGCTTGTATAAATAAATAAATCTTTAAAAAGAAAGAAAAAGTGCAGAGAGGTAGGAGCCCTGAGCCAAGAAAGGAAGGGGTTGGGAGGCCCGGACTCGCTGCTCACCTGCTTTGAGGCCTCAGGAAGTCCTTTCCTCGCGTTGGGTCTCTGGACCCCACCCGTACTTGCCTCCTCTTCCTTGCCTGGAGGGCTCCTCGGGTTACAGCCTCTCCCAGGGTTACCTGGGCCTCATGAAGTACTTCCTCTCCTCATCTGTAACCTCCCTGTTCTCATCCATCCATCCTCAAGGCTTTGCCACTTATGAGAAAAAGGCACACACGTCCTCCTGGCCGTCTTGGGCCCTGCAGCCCCTCCCTTCTCCCCTTTGTCCTCAGAGCCACTGGACTGGGCACCCCCAGAGCTGCTCTCTCCAGCTTTCACTCGACCCCTTGAGCTGCTGCGGCCCAGCTTCCCCTTCACATCCCCACGGGGCTGCCTTTGCTAAGGCCTCTGGTCTCCCCGCTGCTGACCTCATGGGACACCTTAAGTCCTATCCAGGTGAGGTGGACCCAGGTTGGGTGCTTCCTTGTTCTTGAAGCACTGTCTCCAGGACATCGCCCTTTCTGGGTGCTCGTCCTGCCTCCACGCTGCTCTTCTCAGCCTCCCTTCCCCTGCCCACCCCTTACATGTCAGCAACCCCCGGTTCTCACTGGGGCCTCTGTCCCTGTGGCTAATCTCATCTACTCTCACAACTTCAAACATGGGTGATACTGTATCTGCGTCTCAGGCCACACCTCCCCCAGCTTCCAGAGCAAGTATCCATCCCTGCTGCATGGCTCAGCCTGCATGTCCCGGGGAGCTCATCTCCTGTTCACACAACTGCTCCTCCTCCTGTGCCCACTACCTCAGATCACGCTGCTGCCCAGGATGAAGGAGGACCCTTCCGGGCCCCGCCCTGTCATCTCCCTCCCTCCATAGCCCATCAGTCACCAAGTATGGTCATTCGGTCTTCAGAGAATCTTGGGAGCTCACATCACTTGCCCCTCACCTGGGTTGATGGCACAGGCGAAATCCCACCCCAGTAACAAACCAGCGCACACAGTCTTATTGCAATTTTATTCATGATCATCAAAAATTGAAAGTAACTAAGGTGTCCTTTAATAGTGAATGGGTAGAGGGCCTCCCCCGTGGCGCAGCGGTTGAGCGCTGGGTTGTGAAGCTGGCCGCAGCCTCTGCAGCGCCGGTTCGATCCCCGGCTGCTCCCCGGCCACCGGAGGAGGGTCCCACATGGCGCGCAGACCTCTCCTGCCGCCCGCTGCTCCCCTCAGCAGTGTGCTTCGGTCCTTCTGCCTGCTCTGTTCCCCGCTCTGGCTCTGGTGAATTCTCTCACCCTCCCGCGCTTCTGACTGTACCCAGTGCATGTATAAACAAAACAAACAAATAAATAAATAAATGAAATATGCCTCTATTAAAAAAAAAAGATTAAAAAAATATAAAAAAAAATAGTGAATGGGTAGAAAAACTGCTAATTTCATGCAATAGAATTGTGTTCATCCCCTCTCCCTTGCAAAAATAAGAATAATCCATCAAGCCATATAAAGACATGGATGAATATTAAATGCACATTGTTAAGTGAAAGAAATGGTCTAAAAAGGTGACACACAGACAGTCTCCCCTGTCTTTGACATTCTGGAAAATGTCAAAAAAAAATCTAGAAAAGTTAAAGCTATACAGATAAAACAGATCATTGGTTGCCACAGTTTGAGAAGGGGAGAGGACTGAGTAGGTAAAATATGGCACTCTTTTATGGTGGTGAAATGATTCCCTGTGATTTAGACCGGAAGACTCCATTAAGATTTCAGCTCTTCCCAACTTGGTCTGCAGATCAAGTTGGACACATGACGCACATTTGGGGAAACCCATAGAACTTTACAGCACCAAGAGTGATCCGTGGTGTATGCAACTTTAAAGGGGTTCATTGTGGAGATCAAGGGGCCCTAGAATGCAGTGCAGAATGTTGCAGAAGAATCCAGCTGCATGAGTGAGTGACTGCAGTAACTCAGGGGATGAGCGGATACTAGAGACAAAGGGACATGGAGCTAAGCCCTGTGCTCTGTTTAAGTTGTTTCCCTAGGGGAAGGAGAACAGTTCTGGAGCTACTGCTCATGCAAACTGGAACAGTCAAGGAGGTGGACGCACATGGTGGGAGGCTTCTCACTGGTGGGGTAGGGAGTGACAGGTGCGCAAGGTGAGAAGGCTACAGCAACCCGTAAGGTCACAGGCTGGGTAGGAGGTGTCAGCAGAGAAGCAGATGGTTACATGCGGGAATACAGAGACAGATACGTGGGTTATGACACACGCACTTTTCCTTGCTCTGCCAATGGAGAGGACCTAGAAGCCATGATTCCGCAGGAACAACAAGCACACCCAGCAACAGGCACACCCAGCGCCCAGACCTTGGCTTCTAATGCCATCATGTAATAACGGCAACCAAAGTTCCTTGGAGAAATGGCTGGTCTCAGGACTGGGGCACGGAATGTACAGGATGAGTCTAGCAAGGAGGGAGTGCTCAGACCAACCAAAACAGCGCTGGGGTGATGTCAAAGGGGCACAGGAGCCAACGGAAAGAGTCTCAGTGGCCAAGGCCTCAATATGAGCAACAAAATAAATCTCAGTGTTGGATTATAATCCGACGTGTAAATATCCACGAGTCCATACTGAAATGAATAAAGCATTGAATAAACGAATAAATAGGGAACAAACTTCCCATGCATGCAGAAGAATTCCAAATAATTTATGTAGATGCTTTGCCCTCATGAAGGTGGAACACATCTCCCTACTTCCCAAAGTGTGAGCTGATATTTATGTAGCCAACTCCCTGTTGACTGGCATTTGGTTTTCTTCGATTCTTTTGCTTCATAAACAGTGAGCTTTTGTACACGTGTCCTCTAAATTTCAGTATTTAAAAAAAAAAATTCTGTATTTTCATAGGATAAACATTTTAGGGAGAATAAAACTATAACATCTTGAGAGACACATTCGTACTTCAAAATGTTCCTATAAATTTATAATTTGCAAAACAGTGTATGAATACCCATTTCTCCAGACTCATGATGCAAAGTATGACTCAAAAATGATTAACACATTGTCTTTAATAGACAAAGACCTTTGCCAGTCAAATAGTAGGAGGACAAATAGCATGACAGAGAGATGAATGAAGGGTCTGAGCAGGTAATTCACCAGGTGAGTTGTACAAAAACCTTTAAATACTTAAAAAAAATGCAAAAACAAGTTATGTAATTATGAAAGAAATGCACAATAGGAACAGGGAGATATTATCTTGTCCATTGGACTAGTGAGGAGAAAAGACTTGTAATAACTGGTATTCAACTGTGTATGGGAACAGGGATCTGCTCCAACTTGTTGATGGAGAAACAAATAGACTTTTGGAGGCCAAGTTTTTTTTAAAAAATGTCCACATACTTTTATTTACTCTGCCTTACAGGAAGTTATCCTAAGACCGCAAAAAAAAAAAAAAATGTGTAAAGATGTTCACCATGGTGTTGTTTATAACAACAAAAGAATTTGAAATAACCTGTCCAACAACAGGGGGATATAAGTTAATGACAATTCATCCCTATGCTGAACTCCTTGGCAGCTGCTGAAAACTGTGTTGTAGAAGAATATTCCTTTAACGCATTTCTCATCATGATACAATTAACAAACCAATGCACTTGGAAAAGACAAGTGTACGTCGATAGAAAGAGCACCCGCAGCCTGCGTGCCGGCATTTGCCGTGGTGTCTGAGTGTGAGAACTGGGTGCCAACCATCTTTTCTTTTGCACTTAACCTCTTGTTATCTCATGTTTTCCTTGTTTTCCTCATTAAGCCTCTCTTAAATTTTGTAGTTAAAAAGAAAAAAGAATTAAAAAATATTTAAAAAAATTATTGTATTTTTATTTTTTTAAGATTAATTTATTCATTCATACAAGAACTGGGGTACAGGCCAGAGGTGTGGAGGGTGAGAAGATTCACCAGAGACAGAGTGGGGAACAGAACAGGCAGACTGACTGAAATACACTGCTGAGGGGAGCAGCGGGCGAGTCAAGAGAGGTCTCCCGCGCCATGTGGGTTGCTCCCTGGCCAGGGATTGAACTCGGACTGCAGTGGCTGTAGATAGCTTCATAGGTTGCGTCTTAACCCCTTGCGCCACCAGGGAGGCCCAAAAAATACTTTAAAAAGTTATTTAAAACTATGCTGGTTCTTCCTTTTAATGTCTTTCTCATCTGCCCTTTTCTCCATTTCCTTTAACGTGGCCCTGGCTGAGTCTCCACCTCCCTAACTTAGGCTGTCGCATTAACTTCTGCTTGGTGTTGCTGCCCCCCACAGAAGGATCTAACTTGTTCTCAGCTCAGAAGTTTCTGGAGACCTCCCCACTTAGAGTAGTGTCTCTCTTGGCTCCTTCTCACTTAGTTGCTCCAGACCCCCCACAGCCTGGCCGTTACCTCCTTTTTCTTGCTTTACTCTCCCGAACCACCCCCACCCCACAGGCATCAACCCAGTCTTTACTTGCTCTCTGTACCTGCAAGTCTACCCAGCTTTCGGGGCCTGCCTCCTCCAAGAAGCCTTCTTCTGTCCTTTCCTCTTCCATACTCCAGTTCACGTGATTTTGAATTTCTTCTGTGGCCACTGTCATCAGCTGTCTCCTAATGCGGTAATTTCTGGAGGATTCTGCCTCCTCCTTTGGTCACCTCCTTATCAGGCAAGGGCCACTGTGCCTGGAGCCTGCCCCCAGCAAGGCTGCATGAACCATGGCGGCAGACCAGAGCCAGATCTGCCACGCTCCATAGTTATGCCTTAAATATGCCATTTCTGCACTTAGGAATCTGTTAAATTATACACATAAACTATCACAATTGGGATTATGTGGCATAAAAATGCTCATTACCAAACTGTAAGATTTATGGGCATATGATTTGGTATCCAGAAAAGCTTTCTTCCACAACTATCAATAAACATTTGAATCTGAACTTAATTTTAGGCAAGATTTTGGAAAAAATGACTCTATGGAAACCCAGGCATGTCCTGGAGGCAACCGCAGATAATTAGGCTGGGAAAGCTTTTCTGTAACACTCCTGCTTAATATCAAAAGCAAATTTTTATTCTTAGTTACTCTTTCCTTGTTGCCTCATTGAAAAATGACAGTGTTTCAGTAAAGAGATATATTTGGTTGTAGCGGTAAGCTTGATTTCTTAACTCTGCTATTTTTTTCTTTGTAAGAGTGAGAGGTTTTAGATGCCTCGCCTTCCTTTTAATTCTGCACACCCCCATACTCTGCCCAGTGCTCCCCCTTCTTTGCAGCGCTATCATTGCGCTCCTGGGCACCCGTATTTCCCATAGCGCTGTTGTTACAGTAATGAAACACAAACAAGAACGCTAACCACCTCCCAGCATTTCTTGGCGTCAAGCCCCTTCTGTGTTTTATTGAGGGGTCAGGTGAGTCAACTGCATAGTGGTAGATGAGCTTCCTGTTCACCGAGGGACCCAGGGGGATGTTGATTTACATGAAAGGGTCGAGCACAAATGATGATCTGAAACCAAGGGAGCTCACATATCCTTTTGATGTGCTGCCCCCAGAAAGGCATTGCCCTCTACCCGCATTACTTGAAATGTACTTTTGTGTCATTTAAATTATCGGGCAAACCTGTTCTCTAAAAATTCACAACAGTTGTGCAGATATTGGTGCACCCTTGTCTGGGCTCCAGCTGGGAAGCGCATTTCCTGGGTGTGACTGCCAGGATGTCCTCCCTTTGTCTAGCTGTTGGCCATCTGTCCACCTGTCCACCCATGGTCTCCCCGTAAAACCTCCCTTCTGCTCAGGAGTCCTGTCCGGTTGCTTTCCGTCCCCCTGTGGCACCTTTAGGGGGACTCGTGTGTCATGATGACGACCGTGCTGGAGAGTGGTGCTGAGGGTGTGGGGCCCGTGTGCAGGGCTGGGTGTCCCAGGAGCCCTTGACCTCACGCCTTCCCTAGGCTGCCTCTCCCTCCTGCTTAGAAATCCCATCCCAGTGGCGGACAAGGGTGCCGTGGTGGTCCGACACTTAACAGCTTTTCTGGTGTGTGTGTGTATTTGACTTTCCAGGTCAGTTTTTGGGTTGTACGAGAGATTCTAACAGCACAGACTTTAAAAATAAGGGCAGAAATCCTGAGCCATTTTGTGAAAATAGCCAAGGTAAGCTGCTTTATTATTTTTTTCTCCTTCCTTTGTTTATGGTTTCAAAAATGTGTCTCTTCAGTACTTTGCTCTGGGTCTGGGCGGGGTTCAAACAGGGGCTGTGCCCTGTCTTCCCTGACAGAGGCAGCTGCACGTCCAGCCTGGCTGCCACACGGCTCTCCGGCCCCCATGCTCACGTTGGTGGTGTGCTCCTCCACCCTGCAGTCTCCTTACCTGGCCTTTCCTGGACTCCACGAGCCCTCAGGCTACCCCTGGCACCCCAGCCTCCCTCCTCTCACTTCAGGTGTCGCTGGGCATCATGAGCATAGATGCCTGTGCTGCCGTCTCCTTTGCACAATTCTCTCCCCCAGCAGCGCTCACCCCACCAGCACGAGCTCAAGGCCTGGGCCTGATGGGCACTGTCCTGGCCAGTTGGACTCAGGGTCATGTCTGTGCCCCTCCCCCCTGCCCCCACTGCGCCCCCCACCCCGCTGCCCTCGCCTGCCAGCTTGGTTGTCATCCCAGAAGCCTGCCAGGATTGCTCCTCTTACTGGCCCTGCAGGCTCCTTCCCTCACGTCCCTGACCCTGACCTCTGGGCATGCAGCGCTTTCTCTGGCCGCTTTGCCTTTTGCACGTTGTCTTCCCACCCACCCTGGGCTGTCCACCCTTCCCTGAGGGCCCTCGCAGGCCAGGCGCCATAGCAGCTGCTTTACCGAAATGATCACACTCAATACTCACGTTATTATTATTCGTTTCCAAAGAGGGGAGGGGAGGCTTAGAGGTACCCATGCCCAGGGCCCCCGCAGCCAGCGGGTGGAGCCCTCTCTGCTTTCAGGGTCGCTGCTCTGACGCCTCTCCCAGGAAGGTCAAGTGTATAGTTGATGAGTACATTAGGGGCTTTCTGACCCACGCATCTGAAGGACCAGAGCAGTGGTGGGCCCCTGATACCTGCGGCTGTCAGTGCTGGTGCAGGAGGGGGACAGGGGGTACAGCTCCAGATCCCCCCCTCCCAGCACTTTCAGTTTGGGAATGAGCTTATAGTCCTCTCCTCACCTCTGCCATCTTCAAGGTGGATCTTCGCACTGGCACCGAGCCCTGTGCAGGCTCCTCCTTTCTCTGGGCCTTGGTTTTCCTGCCTATAAAATGAGAGGAGTGGATTGGATACTCTCCCAGAGGCCCTTCAGCTCTGAAAGAAATTCTGTGGCCAGCATAGCAGTTGAGATACAGGGGATGGAATTCAGGTCACCCACAGAAGCTATTATCGCACACAGGAAGCAGCTCGAGAGTGTTACAGGAAGTGGGCAATAAAGCATTAACTTGTGCGGTGAGGGAGAAATCTCAGGGGAGGGTGGAGCCGTGGGGACCCGGCATAGGACTTTTCATGACTTGTTCACTTGGTTAGGCCCCGCTGAGCAGTGTGCTGGGTACTAGGGGTGTGGCGGTACATAGGCTGCATCCCTGCTGTCAGGGGGCATGCGGTCCCGTGAGAGCGAGGCCAGTCAAGTCCAGCATGCTGAGGGGATGCACAGGCTGCGAGGGGACCCACAGGCATGGACCCAGCCTCCCTAGATTGGGGAATGTGGTCAGGAAAGATGGGCTAGAAGCAGTATCTGAGGCAGCCGGACGAACAAGTCTTCCTGAGGTCCTCTAGGCGCTCGCCTGACACCAGGCCCTGGTCTCCGCGAGCCACGTTCTCTGTCCCCGGAAACATCCGCGCCAGGTTTCCCATCCTCGGTCCTCGTTTTAAAGACGAGGATCCCAGCAGGCTCAGGAGGATTAGGCCACACGTTGCAGGCAGCACACCCACGTAGCGGGAGCCGCGGGAACCAGGCCTCTTGGTTCCCAGAGAGAACCTACTCGCCAGCCCAAACTTTCAGGGCTCCCAAGAGTGAGTATCAGAACCCGGGTCCTGTTAGCGGGCCTCCCTCGGCGTAAACCAAGAGCAGAGCAGTTACACCTCTCTGCGTTTGCTCTTGCCGGGGTCTCCTTCTGTTGCCCTCCATGGTCAGGAACTTGTCTGGGGCTGAACTGAATCCAAATATTCTCACCGATTTGGGGCCTGATTCAAGGAGCATGGTCAAATGATGGGAAGCTGGAGCGCTGCCCTCCCAGCTGAGAGGGATTAGGCAGAGCGATAACATCTCTCCTGGCCTCGCTTGCTCGCTTGCTCGGGGTGTTGAGGTAATGACCGAAGACCATGTTAATATTGTTGGCACAGCTGGGGTTTCAGTTTACAAAATCCTGCTGGGACCGTTTGGATCCCTCGAAAACAGAGCATACAGGACGTTATCAGAGCCATGCTGAGCCACGCTGCTGTCCAGCCACCCGGCCAGTCAGCTCGTGGAACCCTGCGAATGTTTGGATGCAGACTAACCTTTTGACAGTTTGAAAGAAAACGAGCATATGGTTTCTGTGAACATTCTAGAACTATATTTTCTACATGAGATATTTTTAAGTGTAATTGAATTTCATAAATATGACAACATTTGGTAACAGTTGAACATGTTTTTGTCTGTTGTTTATAGCAGCAAAATAATCTATTCCATATATTTTTTTCCAGAAACTTCTCGAACTCAACAACCTTCATTCTCTCATGTCTGTGGTGTCAGCATTGCAAAGTGCACCTATCTTCAGGCTGACAAAAACCTGGGCTGTAAGTTAATCTCCCCGAACCTACCCCTTTGATTTTGGCTGTCATTTTGCTGGTGAAGCCCTGCATTCCTAAGCCCCAGAAGGCTTTCTCTGACTTTGCCGTCTGCCAAGACAGACGGTTCTGTGGTTAATAAAATGTGCCCTGGGCATCCCCTCTCCTCCAGTGACCTCAGCCCCATCTGCGGACAAGGAAGTTCTTAGGGCACTGACAGGGCTGGGGTCAGGAGCCCCTCAGAGGGCCTCTTCCTGGGCCCTTCAATGTGTGGGAGGCCCGGGTCAGTGGCATGACTTCTGCCCTCCCCTTGGCTGGCATTTTGCATTGCAGGCTCTAGGCTGCCCTTGGGAAGGAAGGTCTCTGGGCTGATGGTTCACAGCTGCCTGGATGGCTGGCCCTTCAGCTAACAGTTTCTCTGAGGAAACCTGTGACCCTCATGTAGGGAAAAATGAAAAAAAATTTTTTCCTGAAGGCCATGGATAATTTCAGCTCAGAGGTGGAGCCTGATAGTTATATAATTGAGTCTGTAGGAAAGTTTTTCTGCTGTAAAAATACTTTAAAAATATCTCAGGCCTCCTTATCCTCCTTAGTTTGGCCCGTTGCCTGACATGGGGGAAGTAATTGCTATTTCCATAGCTCATTAGCATTCACCTCCTGGCCTGCCTGGTCCAGGTCTCTCAGCCACACAGCCCGAGCCTTTCAAGACCTGTTTATGTCCCGTGGAACTGAAGGAAACTGTATGGAATTGTCAGATGTGCTTCTGCAACTCATTTCCGAAATCTTTCCGCCGGTCCGTGGGGCTGGGCTCTGGTTCGTACTTGGCTAGTTCAGAGGCCTCTAAAAGACGTAGGGATTATGATGTCGGTGATCAGAAATGAACCTCATTTCTTTAAGTTGCAGTTTTCCAGAGGTCTAGCCCTAGCAAGTGGGTCAAGAAGAGCGAGCCTGGAATCAGAAAACGGGGCTTTGTTCTCCTGCCATTCAGAGCCTGTTCCCCAGGCTGTGCAGAGAGGCCGCCCGAGGAGTAGTTTTCCATCAGTGCTTCCCGGAGCCCTTGGGGTTCCTTGGATATGCCTTGGGGGCCAGCAGGGGCTGGGGGAGAAGAGTGAGGGTCTGGGCAGATAGCGTGATACTCTGTCCAGCAAAGCAGCTCTGTTTGTGTCAGTTCTGTGCCCTGGGCTTCTAGGTGAGGTGCTGTGGAGCTGTGGCTTGCAGATGGAGCAAGTTTGGAAGCCGCTCGTCTCTGCAGTTGCTGCCAGCCCCGTGATTCCTTGAGTCCCTCTGAGCCATTAAGCTTTTTTCAAGTTGCTTGGAGATTCTTTCTTTTTCAGATGAATTTTCCGTTGTTTAGATGCTGTTACTGTTTCTGGGGCTTCTGGGAGCTATACGCAGACCCAGAGGAATGAGCTGCAGATTTCATGGTGAACAGACCTTTCTGTCTATAGTTGCATGGTTCTCAGGAACCCCTGTAGGCTGCTAGGGGGCAACGGCAGTAGGGAATCAGTACAGGGGCGGGGTGGCTGAGGTCCTCGCAGAGAGCTGATCCACTCGGGCGGGGCAGGGCCCATCCTGAAGCCTGGCGGGGCAGGCCTTCTCCCCGGGATGTCAGGCATGGCCCAGGTGTGGCACAGCATAGGGCCAGAACAGTGCCCTCGACTGCTCCGTGTGGCTTGATGGGGCGCTGCTCAGAGTGGCTGAGCCACCACTGCTATTGATGGGGTCTTTCTGCCATGAAAATGAATATCCTACAGCTCCTCACAGAGCCTGGAATGGACTTTCTGCCCAGGATGCACTCAGAAGCAAGAGCCTCCTCACCTAACCCCCTTCCAGGCCTAGTGAGCCAACTGCTCTTCCTGTGGATGTGCCAGAAGAAAACGTGCCAGGCACGGCCTCAGAGACTTCCCATGTTCGCCCATTTCCTCTTGACGGCTGCCCAGTGAGGCAGGTGTGGCTCTCACTCTCACAGCGGAGGCTGTGACAGGTGAGGTGGCTTGTGCCGGCTTCCACAGCTAAGAGGCAGAGCTGGAGCCAAACACAAGCAGTTTGGCTCCAGAGTCCCTGCCCTTAGCCACCACACCCACCGAGCTGAGCAAGAATAGCCCCACACCTGCCCCTCATCCAGTGCTCCCCTGGGGGCTGTGAGGACGAGCTCAGTGGGCCGCTGGCGCCTCCCCAGGCCTTTGCACCCCTGTCCAAGGACCCCCGAGAGCTGCAGCCAGGTCGCACAGGCTGCCTCGCAGGATGCCTTCTGGCCACTCTTCTGCTGGTCCGCCAGTCCCCGGTGGCAGGGAGGGGGGGTGGTTGTTGTTGCCACCTGGGTGGGCATCTAACCCATGGGAGCCGGGGGGATGCCAGGAAACGGAGTGTCCATGCCGGCAGACAACAGGGGGCCTGGGCAGCAACACACTTCTGTCCTTTTTCTGAGAAGTCTCCCCATTGCCTCCTAAGGGCTGTGATTTGGGGCTGTTTTCTTGGTTACAGGGGGTCACTTACAGGGGAGAAGGTGGGTAGATGTGGCATCCCAGGAAGTCAAAATGACAACTGCCAACTGCTGCGTCGGGGCAACAGGTGGGAGACCAGCTGGGTGGGTGTCAGCCTGGCATCGCCAAGGTTACGGGGGCTTCAGCCTCTTCCAGACCAGATTCTTCCTGTTAGTTCAAGGGCAGTGGGTGGCATAGAGCATTTGGGAAATGGAGGGGACCAAACACTGCATCCCTCCCCTTCATCTGATCACCCCAATACCCCTCCTCCCCCCTTCCCCGGACCCTGTGGAGGCCCCTGTGTATTCCTGACACGCGCTGCCCCTAACCCAGCCACAGCATATCTGCTCTGCAGCCGCCTCTGCAGGTCTCCTGCCTCTGCAGGTCTCCCTGCTCTGGCACATTCCTTCACGAGGTCTGGCTTTTCTCTGGATCCCTGTGTCCAGCTGGGCACTTGTTTGAGTTGTGGATGTTGTGCCGACTGAGTCACACCTCCTCTGGCTGTTCATTTCTGGTGATGTGCTCAGTCACGAGTGCTTCTTGGAAGAACCTTCCCCACTTGCCCCTGCATCTGGCACCCCTGAGGCCCCATGGAGAGCAGGGGCAGTGGAAGCGCCAGCCACAGCCCGAAAGTCAGTGCTCCAGAGTCCTCACTCCAAGAGGGGCAGTGACCGCTCCGTGGTCACAGAGCTGACGAGTGCCCGAGCCAGGGTGCTGCAGCCCCACCTCGCTGGACCCCAGTTGTGTTCTTGGCCAGAGTGCTGCATGGTTTGTCGGTGACACACCTGACCTTGCAGTCAGACTGGGCCCAGGGCAGGGACATGAGCACATGTGCTGCTCAGGAGGAGGCTGGGCCTGGGATCGAGGTGTGACTAGCACCCCGATGCTATTCCTGGGGAACCTGGATGGAAGGGGTATGGGGGCCTGCCTCTTGGTTGCACTGCGGATGACCTCCAGTGAGGGTCAGGGGTCACCAGCTGCAGAGCAGGGCAGCCTGTGGTTTGGGTGAGCTGGTATGGGACAGGCACGGACACCCCAGCCTTACTCAGAGCAGCCTTACTAAAATGCTGACGGGGGCTCAGGCAGAGAGGGAGTGCCTTCTGCCGGCGCAGGAGGACATAGACAGGGTCTCACTCAGCCTAGCACAGGGGCCATCCTGGAATACTGTCTGCTTCAAAACCTGAGGCCCAGGAACTGTGTCTCCAGTTCCCATCCCCTGAGCATGCTTCACATGGTCCTGGTTCAGCCTGCAAGTCAAAAACTTAATGAAGGCCTCCCCCAGGCCAGGCACTGAGGCAGTGGTCAAGGCCCCTGTACTCCTGGACTTTTATGCTATTCAGGGAAGTTGAACCCTTTATTCAGAGAGAATAAACAGGTGCCTCGTCTGCCTGGCCCAGGAAGTGTGATAAATGCAGGAAGGCAGGGCCAAAGAACATCAGGTGGGAATAAAAGCAATGCAGACTAAGCCGGGGTAGGGGGCTGCAGAATGATGGGGCCCCCTACAGCATGGGGGCCAGGGGAGACCTCTCTGAGGAGACACCTTGTCTGTAGAGACCTGAGTGACAAGAGGAAGCCAGCCTTGCCCAGTGCCAGGCCCACAGAGGGGAGAAGCTTCATGGAACTCTGAGGCCAGTGCGGCGGGGACGAGACCAGGCCCAGGCCAGGAAGGGGGCAGACGGGCGCGTGGGCAGCTCGCTGGCCGTTCTTCAGTGAAGGGCTTTATAGAGGAGATGGGCAGATCTGGTTTATGGTTGCTTTTGGCTTTTTGTTTTTTAAATTACTGTTGCTACTGTCTGGAAAACAAATTGGGGGGGGGCAAGAGTGGAAATGGGGCTTGTTAGAAGTTGAGGGGGGATCCAGGAGTGCAGTGATGTGGACACGGAGAGAAGCAGGCTGGGGGGGCTTTCCCAAGACGGAGTTGGTAGTGTTTGCCCCGGGCTGGATGTTGGGTGAGGAAAGAAGGGAAGGGTGACCCCCAGTTGGGGTCTGAGCAGCTGGGAAGATGGTGCAGCCTCAGTTCTGGTCAGAGCGATCCCAGGAGGGGACTGACTTCATCGTAAGTGACCAGGGCAGGGGCGAGTCACTCCTTACAGCAATTGTAGTCACGGGGACCCACGCACCCGCCCCGCCTGCCGCGCCCGGTCCCTCCGTGATGTGCTCTTTCCTACTGAACCATCCAGCGTCCACGTCATCGGTGGCAGTAACGCGAGAGCTGACGTTCTGGCAGGAGGAAATGACAGCGATGGTCAGGCAGCCTGGCCTGCAGGGTGGAGCCCACCTGGGGGCGGGGCTTTCACTCCCAGGGATCACTGTGTGCCTCGGTGTGAACGGCTCCTTCCACCCAAGCGGCCTGAGCCTCTCTGCAAACACCGGGGGAGGCAGATGTGAGACCTTCACGTGCATCGGGTTTTAGGGTCTTTCCTCCAGGAAGAGCCTTTGCCCCCCCCCCCCGTCCCTCCCCCCCATGGTGCCCTTGGGCCCCCCCCCCCCCCGGCTCTCTTGGAGCAAGTGGTCGGGGGGGGGGGG